AAAAAAAAAAAAAAAAAAAAAAGAAGGAAGGAAGAAAAAAAAACTTTTAGAGTTCAGAGCTTTCAGAGTTTGGTGTTCTTTGGAAAAGGAATGCTAGGCCTGTGAATTTCCCTGGCTTTTAGGAAATTCTTTGATATGGAATGAGTGAATTGGGCCGGTCTTACCACTAGAGGGCCCCTGATTATCATTTTGTGCAGCATCCTTACTAATGGAGATTTCCTTTACTTCAGCTTGCAGATGCCAGCAAGTTACCTAACCTCAAGGAACTTCTGCAATCCCCCGAAGACGAAGACCAATGGGCCTGGGACCTGGTGAGCTGGATTTTATCCTCAAAGGTCCTGACAATCCACAGTGCAGGGAAGGCAGAGGTGAGGCTTTGGTCTGAAGGATCACAGATTCCTAGGGCTGAAGGTTGTGGGATAGCATGAGTCCAGTGACTTTGGGATATCTCTGGGCCCCAGAATGGCCTGGGCAGCTTGTTGAAAGTGCAGATTTCGTGCCTTGTCCTTTTACTGAATAAATTGGAGGTGGGGCCATAAAAAAAATGCAGATTCCTGGACTTTACCCTAGAGATTGTGATTCTGTGGTATCTGGCATTGGGTCCAGGAACTTTGTAACGGTAGCAGTTCACAGCTGAATTCTGCCTTGTATATCATATCTCTGTGATCTTGATTAGGTTGCTGGGTACATTTCAGCATTTCTATTTACTCATCTGTAAAGTGGGTATAATAATTGCATAATTCCACTGGGAAACTGACCATGTAAATGGATTTTTACACTTAAGAGCAGAGCGTAAGAGAGCATATTAAGGACTCAGTGAATGTTGGGTATGACTCTATTTAACGAGCACTGCAGGTGATTCTGATAAGGATGGACCCTGATCACACCTTAAGAAACATGGGCTTAGTCCAGTTGTCAGGAAACGGGCCACAAGTAGTGGAAAATGTCATTTCTGGGCTCTAGTCCTACTTCAATCAATTACTGAATCTCCTCTCCCCCATTTGCAAGGTGAGAATTTAATAGTTACCTCAAAGCAGAGCAATGACCCAAAGTCTGTCACCCCACAGCACAGTTTCTGGCACAGGTCAGACATTCTATCATTTGGTTTTCTTTGCCTGATTGGGGTCTCCCAGAGACTGGCTGGAATGACAAGGTCCAGAGTGTAGAACCTGATTCCTGACCTGGTGTTGTTTCCTCTGAGGGGCAGCACTAGTTTATCTGTACTGTTATTCACATAATTAATCAATTTCAATTTGAGAGCATTCCATTTTACAAACTTCCCTAACTGACATAGAATTTGGTACCTTTGTTCTGGCATTTAAGGGACATCCATCTGTATTGAATGGTAAAATAACATAAAGAACCCTGGAGAGGGAGTCAGGAGATCATTCAGGGCCAGGTTGGGCTGCTAATTCCTGGGTTTTACTCTTGTCATCTGTTGAACTGAGAGGTGCATTTGTTTATTTACACCTTGTATGGACATCAAGCACCTACTAAAGGTTGTGTACTGCAGTTAAAGTAGATATGGCAATGGTTTCTCAATTTATTATTATGAATCAATTAAATTTCCATTAAAATGTGGGGTGTTAAAAACCCAGAATTATTAGCTTTTAATTTTTCCTAAGGATGTTAGTCTACTGTGTATTATCATTTTATAAAAAGATAAGTATTAAAGTATCGTAAGTATTAAATTACTTACAAAGGTCTTGATTTCAGAAGAAAGGACAGTTCTTCCAAAGGAAGGATCATGGCAACTTTACGTTATTATAAATATATTCATTATATTTCCCTTCTTTTTCTCAATCATTGATAACCCAGGAAAACTTTGCTACAGATTGGCTTTAGTCTGTTGTCTACTATTTGAAAACTAGTATAGGTTGAAGTCTGTACCCTGGAAAGGATTATCCTCCTTGAGAAAAGAGCTTACCTTTCTGTATCAATTAGCTTTTGCTGAATAACAAACCATTCCCCAAATTTATCTGCTTTAACCAATAAAATGAGAAACACTGATTGTCTCTTATGATTCTGTGGGTTGGTTGGGTTCTATTTTAGTTAGCTTTTTTGCTGCTGTGACTAAAGGAACTGACCAGCACAATTTTAGGCCAGAAGAGTTTACATGAGCTTTTGAAGGACAATTCGCATCCAAACCGTAACAGGTTCTTTTGAGTAGGATGGGCTTGACTGGAGCTGGTTGGCCTAGGGTAACCTTGCTTATATTTCTGGGGCTTTAGCTAGGTTGACTGTAGTGGTTGGGGCCTTTCTCTGTGAGGCTCTGACCCCACAGGAGTCCAGCCTGAACTAGACGGAAGGATCTCCAGCAGCAAACAAAGGGGGTCAAGCCCTTTAAATCTGACATATGTATATTATGGTCCCATTGCCAAAGCCAATCATGTGGCCATGCCCAGATCCAAGGGGTGGAGAAGTAGATTCCTTGTCTACAAAGTCACATTGCAAAGGGGTGTACAGACAAGGGTAAAAGGAAAAATTTGTGGCTATTTTTGCAATTTATCTCTCCTTTGTAGCTCATGAGATATTGTAAAGATGAACAGAGGATATAGAAGGAATAAGTTAGAGACATTAGAATGTCCTCTGGTTAGAAGGAGCAGTTTGTGCTTCTCAGCCTACGATAGGGAAAAATATTATCAGAGGAAAGCAAGCATTGAACTGTAGGCTCTGAGCTTGCTTGTAAATTAATGTCTCTGTCCTCATGATTTAGGAGCCCATAGGGGTCAAGCTCCAGGTTTTAGGAGGCCGTTTTTACAGCACAAGTTTTGGTGGAGGGTGAGGGGACTGGGGATTGAATCCAGGGGCATTTTACCACTGAGATATATCCTCATCCCTTTTTAGTTTTTATTTTGTGACAGGGTCTCACTAAGTTGCTGAGACTGGCCTCAAACTTTAGATTCTCCTGCCGTAGCCTCCTAAATTGCTGGGATTACAGGTGTGTGCTACTGTGCCTGGCCCATTTTTGCAGCACATTTTACCAGCTTCCTAAATAAAATTGTGACTCTCTTCATGTTTTCAAGTTTGAAAAGATCCAGCGGCTGACTGGTGCCCCTCACACGCCTGTCCCTGCCCCAGACTTCCTATTTGAAATTGAATACTTTGACCCAGCCAACGCCAAATTTTATGAGACCAAAGGAGAACGAGACCTAATCTACGCCTTCCATGGTAGCCGCCTAGAGAACTTCCATTCCATCATCCACAATGGCCTGCACTGCCATCTGAACAAGGTGGGCCCAGTGGGTACCCTCTGACATGGGGGAGCATGGGGATGTGTATGTCAGAACCCTGGGGGTTTGTTGGGGGAGAGTGGTGTGGGGATGGATAGGTTTACTAAGGCCTTGATACCCAGAGTGTGGGCTGCAGACCAGTATTCATGGCATCACATGGGAGCCTGAGAAAATACAGAGTCTTGGGCTCACCTTTAGCCCACCTGATTCCTATGCTGATTACAGTTTGAAAAGCATCCATGGCTCTCAGCCTTGGCTGCATATCTATGTCATTTGGAGCTTTAAAAATTCCCAATGGGGGCTGGGGATGTGGCTCAAGCGGTAGCGCGCTCGCCTGGCATGCGTGTGGCCTGGGTTCCATCCTCAGCACCACATACAAACAAAGATGTTGTGTCTGCCGAAAACTAAAAAATAAATATTAAAAAATTCTTTCTCTCTCTTTGAAAAAAAAAAAAAAAAGGAACAGAGATCAGAGAAAGTTTAAAAAAAAAAATTCCCAATGCATGGTTGCATCCCAGACCAATTAAATCAGGTTCTGGGAGTGGGACCTAAACATCAGCATAATTTATTATTTATTTTTTGGACTAGGGATTGAACCTAGGGACACTACCATTAAGTTACATTCCCCGTTCTTTTTATTTATTTTAATTAATTAATTAATTAATAGATTTTTGGGTACTGGTGTTTGAACTCAGGGTCACTTGAACACTGAGCCACATCCTCACCCTTATTTTGTGTTTTATTTAGAGACAGGGTCTCACTGAGTTGCTTAATGCCTCACTTTTGCTGAGGCTGGCTTTGAACTCAAAATCCTCCTGCCTCAGCCTTCTGAGCCACTGGGATTATAGGCATGCACCATTTTGCCAGCTGTCAGTATACTGTAAAAACCCTCCAGTGATCCTAGCCTGTGACCAGCCCTAGCTACTCAATGTGACGCCCCCACAGACAGCATCTGCATTACCTGGGAGCCTATTGGAAATATGGAGTCTTGGACTCACCTCAGCCTACCTGATTAGAATCTATGCTTTAAAAAGATCCCCAGGTGATTGATAAGACACTGAAGTTTGAGAAGTGTATTCCTAGGGGACACTTTAATAGTGTCAGCCCTGGGAAAAAATGAGGGGTATGTCACAATGTGGCAAGAGAGGTCCTTTTCCTCTCTCTTCAAGCTGCTTTCCTCCCATTTTTAGGAGTTAAAACAGTGTCAACCACCCCTTCTCTGCTGGCACTTATTTTACCCCTCACTATGGTGTAGAAAGAAGGTTACAGACAGGCCCTGGAGCTAAACAGACTTGACAGCTCTGTGTCCCTGGGCAAATTGACTTAAGCTTTCTGAGCCTCAGTTTCCTCATCTGTAGAACAGACCTCTGTTAGTCTCCTTGTGGCACAGGAGAGAATTAAAAGAGTTTATTATACAAAGGCTTCTACATGTACTTTGTGCCAAGGAAGCAGCAGCTGCTTTTATAGGCTATTGGAGAGGGCATCTGGGGTGGTTGGAGGGTGTGGGCTCCTCCCCATTGTGGCAGCATCTGCCTTGTCTTTGAGGAGCTGGCTCCATGAGGTTGGGCTCATTTGGGGCTGATGCAGCCCGAGGCTTTGAAGATATTTCCCAGCCCTGCTGCATCTGATTAGTGCTGTTGGGTTTTTCTGAAGATGACGGGTTTGTTTATACTGGCTCTTGGTTTATTATTATGGCCAGGCTACTGGAATCTAAGGCCTCGGCTTTACACTGGGGCCAACCTGGGGAAGCTGCCTGCAGGTCGTAGTCTTTATACCCAACTTTCATTTCAGTATCCTTAAGGAGTTTGTTGTTTAGAGGTGTCTTAAAAGAGTCCTTTGGGGGCTGGGGATGTGGCTCAAACGGTAGCGCGCTCGCCTGGCATGCGTGCGGCCCGGGTTCGATCCTCAGCACCACATACAAACAAAGATGTTGTGTCCACCGAAAACTAAAAATAAAAATATTAAAATTCAAAAAAAAAAAAGAGTCCTTTGGTAAACTGAATCCCCTTTGGTCCCCTCTACTTGGATTTTTAGCGAGGAACTTGCTTGAAGAAGCCCATGTGCCAGATGAGACTTATTTTCATGGCAGAGAAACCCCAAGCTTCTCACTCTTGTGCACCTCTACTCCTAACCACCTTTCACAAGATTTTCAGTTCTTGAGAAGGGCAAACACGTGGCAGATGTAAATAGAGAACTGATGTGGGGTCAGATCAGAGGGTGTCCAGTGTCCCTGGAGAAGGTCCATGTCAGCTTTTGAGACATGGGGAACACTGCCTAATATGGCAAGGAGCTCCCAAAGGCTGTACCAAGGTTTATATTTCTCCTACGCTTCATTTACCAGGCTTAGAAAGTGGCAGCCTGGTGCAACTGAATAGGATATTTCTGAATTCCAGAGCATAGGATATACATGAGTGAGCTCTTCACGTCCACTCATCATCTTAAGATATCCTACTGTGGCTCATGGATAGCAGTGGAGTTTCAGTTCGAATAACAAAGGCTATCCCTTGGTCCACAGCCACCTAGGATATTATGAGAAAGATCCTGAGTAGTATGAATAAGTGCCATGATGGATATTGTTATATCGGCCATCGTGGTTGATTAGTGATGTCTATCAGAGGCAAAGGATTTGTATCTTCACTTGCAGGAGTCTTGCCTGCTGTGCTTCCTTATGGAGGGTACAAGTTAGCACCCACTGCCTGGGAGCTGCCTCCTAGACTCTTGGACACAATTTTCTTAGTTAACACCAACACAAAAGAGTAAAACTTACTCTGCCCTTCATGTTTACTTCCCTTATTTCTTCCCTCAGTTCTGAGAGACTTGTTTCTTTTCCAAGTAGTGACTCAGATTAGCCTCTCCCTCAGGTGTGACTTCCTCCTGCACATAAGGGTGTGACTTGGCTTTGCAAGTCCAGCAGTGTAACCCTGTTTATGCAGTCATGTAACAGGAATCACTATACCCACTGTAATAGAAGAGTCTGTGATAGAGTACCCTCCTTACATTGTCACCATTTCTCATGTGCCAGGTGTCCTGCTCCATATTTGCTGTATGTTATATCATTTAATAATCACCTATTACCTTATGAAGGAGGCACTATTATCATCATCTGTGAACATAGAAACTGAGGCACAGAGAGTTTATATAACTTGCCAGCTTGTTGGAGGATTTAAACCAAGGTCTGTTTGGACCTTAACTACAAGGAATTGCTAGTTTCCCAGGCTAGGTGACCAAATCCACAATCAGTAAAACTGTGATCAGGTGGAAATGTGTTTAGTAATATACCCTATGGAGAAAATCTTGTGTTTACAACTGTATTGAAGAAAGACCAGTGCCCTGTTGCTGTGCCAACTCTACATTCACCAGTGTGTATTTCTTTTTTGTTGGCCTCTACCATTCCAGACATCCTTGTTTGGAGAGGGGACCTACCTCACAAGTGACTTGAGCCTGGCCCTCATTTACAGCCCCCATGGCCATGGGTGGCAGCACAGCCTCCTTGGCCCCATCCTTAGCTGTGTGGCTGTGTGTGAAGTCATTGACCATCCAGATGTCAAGTGCCAAACCAAGAAGAAGGGTGAGTGAGCACGTGGTCCAGACCTGGCTGCAGGCCTCTGTTGGGGTAATAGGCTCTTCTTGTTGGCCCAGCTGTTGGGTAGAGCACCAAACACATGCTAAGGGATGGGCTGGGTCTGGAGCAATTCAGGGGGCCTGCCTTCTAGGAGGGAAAAGCCTTCTTAGGTTTTGAACACACATTGGGAAAGATCACTTACCACAGGTTGGAGGTAGGGAGGGCCAGATGAGGGGACTGATAAGGCAACTCAGAGAAAGGAGCAATCATTGCAGGTCCAAGTGGCCAGGGAAAGCTTTGTGAAGGAGGCAAGATCTGACAAAGAACTGAATGTAAGGTGAGAATATGGGCTCCCTAAGAATTGATCTAGGTCTTATTTATTCTTGGGCATCTGGTGTCAGCAGAGAGTCTGGTATATACTTGACGTTCAACAAATACCTGCTAACCTAGAGCTAAGAACATTGGGTCCAGGTCCTCTAATCTACCCTGGTGTGTGTTGGAGCCCCAGAGGGTGTGAGGGACAACTGAGGCCACAGGGAGCAAGTCCTGGGTTCTCCAGGAAGCAGATGACTAGCTGGCTGCCTCATCTTCACTGCCCTGATGTGTCCCTCAAACTGTGCCCTGTGCCCCCTGCTGTGTTCTCTTCCTTCAAGGCAGAAGAGTCATAGAACTGTCAGTCCAGTCTCCACAACTGGCCTGCCAGTTTTACTAAGAAGAGGAGAATTCAGAAAACTGACTGTTCTGGCCTCTAATATAAAACAACTGGAATCCTGAGAAATAGGCCCAGGTCCCACACTACCTCCCAAACCAGAGGGCACGAATGTTTGCATTTGTAATTCTTAGGAAGTTTGCAAATGGTGACATTAAACATCAAAATAAAACTTTGTAGCCTCTGCTGACACACAGTTTGGCCCTGTTTTTTTTCTTTTTTTTTTTTCTTT